CCTTTGCAAAATAAATAAATAAATAAATCTTTTAAAAATAATTCTTCTTAAAACCAGAAATAGGGCCTGGCACAGTGGCCTAACAGCTGAAGTCCTCATCTTGAACACACCGGGATCCCATATGGGCGCCTGTTCTAATCTCGGCAGCTCCACTTCCCATCCAGCTCCCTGCGTGTGGCCTGGGAAAGCAGTTGAGGACAGCTCAAAGCCTTGGGACCTGCACCCACACGGGAGACCTGGAGGAAGTTCCTGGCTCCCGGCTGTGATTGGCGCAGCACCAGCCATTGCAGTCACTTGGGGAGTGAATCATTGGACAGAAGATCTTCCTCTGTCTCTCCTCTCTGTATATCTGACTTTGCAATAAAAATAAGTAAATCTTTAAAAAAAAGAACTAGAAATAGATTTACCCTATGATCTACCTACCCCATTTCTGGAAATGTTTTCAAAAGATCAGAACATGTTGAATGAAATAGTTACCTGTACCACCATGTTATTAGCAACATGGTTCACAACAGCCAAAAAATATACTCAAGTAAGGTATCCATCATCAGATGTGTGGGTAAAGAAATCATGGTATGTATACACACACAATGGAGTATTATTTAGCTATTTAAAAAGAATGAAATTCTACCATTTGCATCAAAATGGATGCAACTAAAACATGCCACGCTAAGTGAAATAACCTGGACAGAGAAATACCACGTGTTCTCCCTCATTTGTGGAAGGTAACATAAAAAGAAATTCCTGTGAATTAACAATACTGCTGCAACCATTCTGTCACTTTCATATTTTTGTCAAACCAATGTTCAAGAATGATATACTGGAGGGTGGCATTGTGGTGTAATGGGTTAAGCCACCACTTACATCCTATATAGGCAACTATTCAAATCCCATTGGCTCCACTTCTGATCTGGCTCCATGCAAATGTACCTGGGAAGTTAGCAGAAGAAATCCCAAATACTTGGGCCCCTGTATCCACATGAAGTCCTGGGTCAAGTTCTTGGCTCCTGGCAATTTGGGCAGTGAACCAGCAGGTAGAAGATCTCTTTATCCCACCTCCCCCATCTCTGTAACCCTGCTTTTCAAATAAATAAAGCTAACAAAAAAGGAATTATATTCTGCTATAGTTTTTAATGATGTTATTTTAAAATTACATATGATTAAAATGTTCACATTTCTCTTGATTATTGTTTCGTCCTTGCCTATATGCCAGCTGAATATAGGGCATTGTTCCTTTTTACTGGTTCAACTCTTTATTTAATGGACCACTAAACCTTTGACTGCAACAGAAATTTAAATGTTACCACAAAAATTAAAGAAAAAGAAAAAACAAAAGGGGAAAAGGGGGAGGAAAGACAGACCATTATTCTTAAACTGTATCTAAGAACTACACAGAATCTGTTCTGCACTGAAACACACTAACATGACAACTGATGAGAAGTCTGTTACAGTCAATCATGTGCTTACTGTGACTCTGAAAGTCTGTTTGAATAAGCTCCTTAAAAAGTTAAACACACACATGTTCACATTTATTTATATATCCTAGATATGTGTTTGGAGATACTATTAAAATTATTTTATTGGCAGTAATACTCAGCTATCTGGATTAATTATATCTTTTTAAATTAGTCTCTAAGGAAGAATAACTGGGTTGTTTCCTTTGCTAGTACTGCTTGGCAACGTTGTCGGTGTGATTCTGTCACAGGTGCCTAGAAGTGGGATTCCTGAGTGAGACGTAAACAGAAACAACTCCGCTGAATGCTACTACTCAATCTTTCTCCTCTAGGTTATAACAACATCAAGTTACGCAGAACAACCCCTCTGCGTAACTTATCAAAGTTAGAAAACCTCGAATTTTGAAACCTGGTAGCTCAGTATGATGGGTTTCAAGTTTGTTTTTGAAAGGCAGAGTTAGACAGAGAGACAGAGATCTTCCATTTGCTGGTTCACCCACCCAAATGCCACAACAGTCAGAGCTGGGCTGATGGGAAGTGAAAGGCTTCTTCTGGGTCTCCCCCATGGCAGGCAGAGGCCAAGAACTAATACCATCTTGAGCTGCTTTCACAGGCAATCAGCAGTAACTCAGAAGCCGGTGAGGCGCTGTGGGCCACAGGCCCCAGCTCACTTGTTATAAGTCAGGCTATTCACCTATGCATATGCTTGAAAACCATTTGTTTTTCTCTGAATTTTCTGGCTTCATTTATGAATGGTAATTTTTTTAAAGGTTTATTGTGGAAAGGCAGATTTTCAAAGAGGAGAGATAGAGAGAAAAGGTCTTCCATCTGCTGGTCCACTCCCCAGATGGCCTCAACAACTAGAGCTGAGCTGGTCCGAAATCGGGAGCCAGGAGACTCTTATGGGTCTCCCAAGCAGGTGCATGGGCACAATGACTTAGGCCAGCCTCTGCTGTTTTTTCAGAGCTTAAGCAGAGAGCTGGATCAGAAGTGGAGCAGCAGGGACATGAATCAGCACCAATATGGGATGCTGGCATCACAGAGATGATTAGCTTGTTGAGCCACACCGCCAGACCCAAATGATATTTTTACTGGTTTTTTTTATATATATTTATTATTCTTATTGGAAAGGCAGATTTACAAAGAGAAGGAAAGAAAGAGCTTCCATCTGCTGGTTTACTCCCCAGATGGCTTCAGTGGCCAAAGCCGAGCTAATCCAAAGCCAGGAACCTCTTCCTGGTCTCCCACATGGGTGCAAAGTCCCAGGCACTTGGGCCATCCTCCACTTCCTCCCCAGGCCACAAGCAGGGAGCTGGATGGAAAGTGGTGCAGGCAGGATGCAAACTGGAGCCCATTTGGATCACGGGTGTGCAAGGGAAGCCAGCAGGCTGCCCCTCCCCCTCTCCATGAGAATTTAAAATTCCCATTTTGCAGGTGAAGAATTGAAATCTCATGTTAGGATACCTACCTGTAGGACACTGTGACCCCAGAAGGTCAGCGAGCACAGGATTACAGTTCACTGGATAATATTTGCATGAGAACAACCAAACGGCTACCTTTTGTATACCTGATGGGAGATCATTTGTATAAGAACGGGTGAGTGGACAGCATGTGAATGAGAACACTTGGTGGAACATACAAAGCAAAAGGAGTTCCAATCAAGAGTATGAAAACTGGGCCCAGCGCAGATGGCACAGTGGTTAAGGTCCTCGCCTTGCACACCTGGGATCCCATATGGGCACTGGTTCTCATCCCGGCAGCCCCACTTCCCATCCAGCTCCCTGCCTGTGGCCTGGGAAAGCAGTTGAGGATAGCCCAAAGTTTTGGGGCCCTGCACCCACGTGGGAGACCCGGAACAGGCTCCTGGCTTCAGATTGGCTCAGCTCCAGCCGTTGCGGCCGCCTGGGGAGTGAATCATCGGGAGAGAAGATCTTCCCCTCTGTCTCTCCTCTCTGTAAATCCGCCTTTCCAATAAAAATAAGTCTTAAAAAAAAAAGTATGGAAACAGCTGATGGGTCTTGTTGATAAACTCAATACTTCCTTCCTTACCCCATACAACTCAGTGTATAAAGTCTGATGTCACTAATAAACTTCAGCTTTTGACCATCAGTCAGAATCCATGCGTGTTATTATTGGCTCCATGCACCAAGTCCATCGCTGTGGGACAGCGACACCTACCTGACATAGCAGGGAAGCCACAATCCCTAGCATATATACCTATAATTCATTTAGTATTTAGAGCAATGCTTGAAAGTTTCTATTATTCTGATTCAGTGGTGTCTTTCAGAAAATAATGAAGTGACAGCACTATGACTTCAGTACAAATTTCATCCCCAACCACTTAAGCTCTTAAGCCTCTTTCTTGGCTTAAAAAGAAATTTACTAATCTGACCCAAATGATACAGCCAGATACAGGCATGGCTGCAATTAAAACCTTCAGTTTCCCCCATCCGGTTTCTTTCTGCAACAAAGCAATAACTCTTGAATAAACTTAACTAGTTCATATTGGGGATTAGTCATTCTTCACTGTAATTACAACTTTTTATGAAGGATTACTTCCATTGGAGAGGCAGAGTTATAGAAATAAAGAGACTGAGAGACATCGTCCATCTGCTGGTTCACTCCCCAAATGACTGCAACAGCTGCAGATCTGAAGCCAGGAGCCTCTTCTGGGTCTCCCACATGGGTACACGGTTCCAAGGCTTTGGGCCATCCTCTGCTGCTTTCCCAGGCCACAGTCAGGGAGCTGGATCGGAAATGGAGCAGCTGGGACTAGAACCAGCGCCCATATGGGATGCTAGTGCTATAGGAGGAAGCTCAGCTTGCTATGCCACCGGATCAACCCTACTAATTAAGGGATAAATTCACAATTCCCAATAACTTGTCTCATCAGGGCTGTTGAGGGGGGTGGAGGAAAGGGATGTATTTAACAAACACCTAGTAACAATCGTAACAGCAACCAACATTTGTAAACCGCTAACTGTACGGTAGGCCAGCACTCAGTACTTCTGGTATAACATCCCCTGATTGCCATAATCACCAAATTGTCACAGCTGTAACAAAATCCGGTTCTCAGGTGTTTCTGGAAACACATCAGTAACAAGCAAGGCACCTGTTTTCTAAAAGCGGACTTGGAACAAGACGGAAGTTGAGACAAGTAACTTGGTAGCGCCAAGAGACCCTGAAATGAGTTCCAGGGCTATGAGGAGGCTGAGGGGGTCCCCAGGTCTGGGTGTTGACGCACACCCCGTCGCCCCCCAGTTCCCACCGAGTCCCCCCGACGACCTGGTCAGATGCCCCCTCTCCGCCCCGAGCCCCAGGAAGGCACAGGCCGGCCCCTGTGCGGGCCGCTCGGCGTCCACCCGGCCAGCAGCTCCGAGGCCGGCAGGCTGCGAGCAGGGGCCGCGCTCCACCCGCAAAGGCTCTCTCCCGCCTCGGCTTAACTCCGTCGGCGCCGGCGGGAGCGCGGCAGGGAGAGGCCGGCCGGAGGCCCCGGAGGAACAGGCCGAGCCGCCCCGCGCGGGGAGACGGTCCCCGGACACTCACCCCAGCGCCTCGAGCGTATCCAGCACGTCTCCCTCCATCGTGGGCTCGGGACCCGGCTCGGGCCCTCGCATGGTCCTGGGGCCCAAAGATGCTCAGCGCTCTAAAGCGTCCGCCGGAAACCAACATCGCCGCGCCAAGGTTCCGGCCCGAGTCTTGAAGGCAGCAGAGCACAAGTTCCAGGCAGGAGCAATCGACTCCAGATAGCACTTAAACCCGCTTCACGTGAGAGTGATTCCTGTCTTAAATAAAAACACTGAATAATAATACTAAAAGGGTTGCGTGTGTGCGCGCTGAATTCCTATCTGTGCGTTGAAATCAGCGTTAGCAAACCCGTGGATCTCAACCTATCAGATGTCAGACCTCTTTCATAACAAAGAATCCTGACATTCAGTTATAATTATCTTAAGATAAAAGTAGCACTATCGTGCATTTGCTCATGTTTTTTTTTTAAAATATCATTATATAGAGTAATTCTCTTGCTTTATGGAAATGAAGGGAATGTAACAAAACAATTTTTTCATGAAAAGTATCAGACCACTGAATTATCAGATGCTTGCAGCTCTATGTAGAATCTTTTCAAATGCAGACTCAGACTAGGTGTTGTAGTAACAAAAACAGGCATTGCAGGAGCAACGCAAGAACCATGAGCAGAGCTAAGTAGTTCATATGACTTTCCAAAACTCTGACTTAATGCCACATAACGTTCTAATCAAATACAAAGCACTATTCCTTCTGTGGGAAATGCTCCATATAAACAATGCAAGACATTTTTAGGGTTCATTTACGAGAATGATTCAGCGTTTGCAGTCAGATTATGATTAACGCACATCACCTGCACATTACCCCAACAGAACTGTGAGTATACATTGTCCCCTGCATGGCAGAATACACAACAACCCCTGCCCGAGTCCCAAAGCTGGTAGTGCCCTCACCTCCCTAACCACCGTCAGGAGCAAACTGCTTCCCCGGAAGTATGTGATTGCACAATGTCCTAAGTCACTTGCTGTTTCATTCATCTGAACTCACCCCCAACCAAGAGGTAACACTGCCTGCACCACAGAAGCACAAAAACGTACTTTATGTGACCCTGGTAAAACGGCTGTGAAAAGCAAATCCTGTTCTCCAGGGAATTCCGCTGCCGTGTTTCCTGAAAAATAAACAAACAATAAAGCAGAGCATAGCAAAGAAAAAAATGAAAGGACTTTTTCACAGCATGACAGATATCTGGGAGAGACGGAAAAGTGTAAGACAGTGAATGGAGTCATTGTACTCCAGCACAGAGACCACTGAGGATACAGGACGGCAGCGAAGAGATCCGAGCCAAGAAGCTGTCGACAAAACAAGCATTGACTCAAGACCACCGCTAGCGCCAGGCAGGATCGACTCAAAGCGAATCACAACCTAAGAAAACTGCAGTAGGACAAACTGAAAACAAACAATAAAGTGGCAATTAGAAAAGCAGTTGGTGGAAAAAAAAAATCATAAAAACAGAAACGAGGAAACAATGGAATGAGATCTATCATATATTTAAATAAGAGCAACTTCAGAATTTTGTACATGGTGGCAGTATCCCTAAGAACTAACATCGAAACAAAGACGTCTTCAGTTAAATAAAGATAGATATAAATTGTTTCCAGCAGATCCACATCAAAAGAAATATCTAAAAAAAAAAATGCCTGCAGGTGAAAAGAGAATGCTACCAGAGGAAAATAAAATGAAGCCCAATAGTGCAAAAAGGAATAAAGAGAAGTGTTGGGAAGCAATCTGTAAGTAAAACTAGAGACACAATGTCTATTCAAAGCAGGTATAGTGACATCTTAGAGATTTTAAAATACAGAAAGCTTCTGGAGACGAACTGGGGATTGAGTCTTAAAGAACTGATTCTGTCACTGTTGAGAAAGTAGCAAAATCTCTAATTTATGGTAATAAACCAAGACTTACAGCCCCACAATTAGGATAACCAACCAGTCCAGATCCAGTTAATACAGGTGGAATTACCTGCCTACCACATTCAATTTCTATGGTTTCTAAATTTCAATGTCCCACTAAGCTACATTTTGATTGTAAGAGTTTTCACAACACCTTTAATATTGTCCTCTCCTCACTTTACGATCTGGGCTCGTGGTTTTTCACCAGTCTGAGATTCAGCAGCATTCATTGGGTTGTCTTGGCCCAGTTGCCTACCTATGACTCACCTGCTCAGACCTGGCTTTTTTTTATTATTATTATTAATAACATTATATTATGTGACACAGTTTTATAGGTACTGGGATTCCCCCCACCCCTCCCATAACCCTCTCCCCATGGTGGATTCCTCCACCTTGTTGCGTAACCACAGTTCAAGTTCAGTTGAGATTCCTTCATTGTAAGCATATACCCAGCATAGAGTCCAGCATCTTATTGTCCAGATAAGTTCAACGGCTTCTTGGGGAGACCTTCTCTGGTCTGAAGGTAGAGCCAACAGAGTAAAATGCCGATCAATCAAAAGCTCCAACATAACATCAGCAACAATATACAATGTTATGGTATTAATTGACATAGTATTGAGTAAACAATATGTTAAAAATAATACAAGTTCCTAACCACATCCTGTGACTACTCCATTGACATTTCAACAATTGAGGTGCATAACAGTTATAGGAGGGGTGTGCAGAGAAATCTTCAATACTTTGGTGAGGAGTACTTGCTCTGTGTCCTATCTAGTAAGGTATGTGTGAGTCCATGCTGACCAAGCTTTCCTTGTTGTTCTCTGCCTATCTATTCTAATGTTTGTGTGTGTTTGGAGGGGGGCTCTGGAGCGACCCTGATGGTCATTGCAGAGAGGGTGGAGACCCAAAGTTGGAACTAAGTAAGGACCAGAGAAAGCTCCTCTCCCTAGTCCCGAAGGAAGTTTACTGTTCTGATTCCGAGGACCGCTCTGGGTTCCTGGCTGTTGTTCCAATGACCTTGGATTCTATGAGGAAGAATTTGGGCTTCTTTCATCCATGTAGTAGATCCAAAGGTGGGGGGGGCGATGCCCTCTTAGTTCTCGGCAGACCTTGCTTTTATAATCTACTCAGCCACGCTGGTGTCTCAGCACCACGGGTTAACCATCACCTGCGATCTGGATCCCACAGAGGCACTGGTTCATGGGCTGGACACTCCACCACTGATCCAGGGAATTGCCTGGGAATTGCCTGGGAAAAGCAGCAGATTACTCAAGTGTTTGGGCCTGTGCCACCTGCATGGAAGACCCAGATGTATCTTTTGGGTGCTGGTTTTGGTGCTTGAAGGAGAGTAGGATTAGCCAATGGAGCCATTGCAACAGATTACCTGGGAATTCATGAACAAAACAAATGCCATCATGTACTTATTTAAATGTTGTCCTGCTAACAGTACCTTCTGAAATTATTTTTTGAGAAAAGAAATAGTTCATACTCATTATAATAAAGTGAAACTTTTGATTAGAAAGACTTCATTCAGTGCACTTTATGTTATTAGAAGTTTAACATGTTTAAACAAGCATGTTTCTTCCAGTTTCTGGAATGTAAAAAAACCCACTGGCTTTGACAAAAAATAAACACAGTGACCCCTCAAAATAGTTACCATATTAAGGAAGAAAACGTAAGATTTTTTTTTTAAGTATAGTTCAAGATATGTGTGAGTATAATTCATAGGCGACATATTCACAGGTCCACCTGGGCACAGATTTCAAGATGCACTGTCCAGTTTTTTAAAGTAACAAAGCTGTTTTTTTTTTATTTTTAGAGCTGCATTTTAAAGATTTGCTTATTTTTATTGGAAAGTTAGGCTTTTACAGAGAGGAGACACAGAGGAAAAAGATCTTCCATTTACAGCTTCACTCCCCAAGGGGCCGCAACAGCTGGAGCTGAGCTGATCCGATCCAAAGCCAGGAGCTTCTTCCAGATCTCCCATGTGGGTGCAGAGTCCCAAGGCTTTGGGTCGTCCTCTAATGCTTTCCCCGGCCACAAGCAGGGAGCTGGATGGGAAGTGGAACAGCCAGAATATGAACTGATGCCCATATGTGATCTCAATGCATGCAAGGCAAGGACTTTAGCCACTAGGCTATTGGGCCAGGCCCTAAATCTTCATTTTTTGCTTGCAAACTCTGGAGAGAAAGAGAGATTATATACTGATCCTTACAATTCTTGCATGGATTTTCTGCTTTGACTTCAATTCCATGAACTAGCTCCAATTTTGCATTAATTCCGTTTTAGCTGAAGTTGATTTCTATTGCTTGGATTCAATCAAAGCAGATACATAATGATTCAATATATATTTAACTGTGTGGGTAGTAGAGTAAAGCCAGTGCCAAATTTTGGAGTGTGTGTCACAGAATAACATTTAGAAGCATTGAGAACAGGAAAGGAAGCCTTGGGCTGGAGTTCTTCACCGAGTGGGCATTTAGCCTAGCAGTTAAGGTGCTCACCTTGGAGAGTATCCGACTTGCTTCCTGAGGCCCCACTCACCTTCCTGCTAATGTCGTCCTGGGAGGCTGTGGTGATGACTCAAGTAATTGGATTCCCTCCCCCAACATGAAATTGGACTCCTAACTTCCAGCTTCAACCCTGATCTAGTCCTGGTGGGCATTTGGGGAGTAAAAAGACAGGTGAAGTTTCTCTTTCTCTAAGTGAACAAAGAAAGCAAGATAGAAAGCAAGTGAGAAACAGAGAGGAGAGGAGAGAATCCTTAGCTACAAACTGTACTTTCAAAAAACATAGGGCTGGAGTCCAAGGCTAATGAACTAATGTTGCAGGGTGTGAGCGAGATCACACCAGACATGTCTAAGGTTTATTAAGGAGTCTTTATTAACCAAGCTTGGTGATAATAGAGCACACCAAAAACAGCAAATCACAAATCCATACGGCAACCCAACGAAATGTAATCCCAAAAGGAACAACAAATGGTCATTATCCTTAACTCCATCCTTTAAGCTGAAGACCTATGTCCCAGCTTCCCCAACAATATAAGTTATCACAGAGACATGCAATGAATAACCTGGACACACTTTAAAAAGCTGCAGACATTCACCTTTCCCTGGCTTCTCTGCCCACATTCCACTACTGTTAGGCCTCACCTCTC